TCCAGTGTTAGCATACAGATTTAACTGATTCGGAGATAATCTTGTATTCTACATAGCTGCTGGATTTGCTCATTAGTGGTAGTACAATTGTAGATTGCTTATGATTTCGAATATGCAAAGCCACACCATCTATAAGTATCAATAGTTCTGTGTTTTCCTTTTCTAAGTATCAGATTTTTCTAAAATGCCTCTCTGCATTTATTAGGACAATTCTGTGGTTTTGCCATTCATCTTGTTCATAAGTCATATTTCAGTATTGAATTCCGTGTGTTGAAACAATTTTGTTCCTGGATAAATCCTTTATAGACATGAAGCACAATTTTATCTGTTATTGCTGTCAGTCTGGTAGTATTTTCTTGAGAAATTTCACATCAACAGTGAGAAAACAAATGGCTGTATAATTTTCTTTCCTTTTATTGTATTTGCCTGGTTTTGTCATGGTTTACTGTCACAGAACGCCTTGATAAGTAGCTGCTGCTCTGTTCCATTATTAGAACAGTAGTAGCAGATACATGGCTTCAGAAGAAGGGAATTATATAGGGAGTATCAAGTCAATTTCCTTCATCTCTAGAGAAACCACTGACTCAGAATGGAAATTTTGGATTGTATCTTACTGTTGCTGGGCATCATCAAATTTGCACATTTATTTCAGATATGAAGGCTACAAGACTTTCCATGCAAATGTGGCCTTCTTGTTTTGAGACAGGGTTTCTCTGTGTAGCTCTGGCTGTTGAGGAACTCACTATGTAAATCAAGCTGACCTCAAACTCACAGAGGTCTACCGGTTTCTGTCTGCGAGGTGCTGGGATTAAAGTCATGCATCACCATGCCAGGTTCTCCATGTAGTTTTCACTTATGAATTACCTTATAAAAATATTCTCACAATTCTCATGTCTATAACCATAACAGACACCATAACAGCTATAAAGGAGACAACATCTAAGATAACTGGGTTCATAAAGCAAATGCAGAATTGTAAGCCACAAGACTGTTTGGGCTTGCTCAAACACAACTTTAGGAGTGGAATAGAACTTCTACTCATGTGTGAGCCAACCTTCTTCATTAAAGTTTGGATCCCCTGAAATCTGAATACAAACTACCATGAGACCTCCAATCTCTCTTTTAAAGACTATTCAAGCCAGGACAGTATGAAGGAGCTTCCAAAAGAAGGCAAATAGCTGACAAAACATCATCACTGAGGACGACTAAGGCCATAGAAAACAGACTTGACAGGTGCAGTGTTTGTTCTCTCCCGTAAGGCATATGCAGAGATTCCCAACTACCTGTAAGACTGCACATGAGGAGAAATCGCAAGAGGGAAATGACAATTATAAAGTAAGTAAACTGGCTATGACAATATTCCAAGTGAAGTTTTTGGAAATGAAAGGTAGAAAGACGGGAGGGAGAGAGGGAGGGAGGGAGGGAGGAAGAAGAGGAGGAAGAGGGGAAGGAAGAAGAGGAGAGGAGAGGAGTGAGGAATGCATTAGTGAATACAGGTTCTGAAAGAACAAATATAAAATGTGACGAACAAATGAAATTATCTTAAAGAAAACAAGATTTATCACTTCTTTGGTTTGGGGGAGTCAAATGTAGAAGGAAAAAGGTTTTGCATATAAAAACTGAGAAGCTGGCTGGCACCACACTTAGAATCAACAGTATTTGTGGCATGACAGAAGTGCAGGAGAAAGGTACTGTAATGTTTATGTGTGAGAATACCCAAACTACTGTTATGCATTAAAATTAGACTGTGGATTTTCTAGAAAATAATTAATTTTCAGAGACGATGATATTGTAGAATAATGAGAGAATATATAGACTGTATGAGACTATGTTTTGTTTTGAAATGAATAACTTATTCTCTATCTTGAAATTTTAATTTAATTTTGATGCTGTAAAGACTAACCAAAGTCAATAGAAGCAGTAGTTAGGGACAAAAGAATTTAAATCAAGGTATTTTTTCATCTCATATACAATGAGATGAATGTGGAACAGAATTAAAAATTAATGTATTTTTGACTCTTGGAGATTTAAATAAAATAATGGGATCATAGAGATTAGTGCTATCCTGACAAAATTAAATTTTGTTCCTTTCTGAATATGGATAGTTCTTTTGAAATTTGATGTCCAGACAAACGTGATAAATCTTAAGTCCCCACAAAGTTGATTGGTTTCCTTGATATTTCAAGTTAATTAATTATTCGAGGAATACAAAGTAAAGACCTGTTTGAATGAAGCATTGCATTATGTGCCAAAAGCTCAACTATGAATAAAGACAGAACAGCATTTTTAGATTATGTACTATTTACTGAAGTTATTTAGCAGTAAGATGATTCAAGTTTTTTTTTAGTTTCCTCTTCAAATATTGAAATATCAATAATATCACTTGTACACTAGTGACCTTACCACTAAAGAATTAATAGACAAAGTCATCTCTTTTACTGACATCAGATTTGAAGTTTGTAAAATGCTCCAAAGTGCAAGAATAGTTAGTACTGTGCATAAACTACCTCCCTTGAGTTCTGCATTTAATAAAATACCCATATACAGAGGTCTAGGGAACCAAGCATGGTGGTCCGGCCATCATCCCAGACCTCAAGACCAGACTTGGAGGCCAGCCAGCCTAAGCTACACAGAGAGAACTTAATAATAACCTATCTTAGAAATAAATAATAGCAATAGTTTTGAAAATCAATTCAAAGAAATGGATAAATGATTTCTAATTGCAGGGAAATAAAAATAACTTTGAACAAAGACTGATTGTTCTTTGTCTTTAAATTCAGTCCAGCTTATCTCTCTGGCTTGAAAATTTTCTGCCCATTTTCTCAACAACATATGAATAGAAACCATCTACAAATTAAATTACTAGTAAAATCTGGAGCTGGGGATTCACCTTAGTGATAAAATGCACACTTTGTATTCCTTGGACTCCATGTCTTGATATCTCTCTCTGTCTCTTTCTGTGTCTGTGTCTGTGTCTGTGTCTGTGTCTGTGTCTGTGTCTGTCTCTCTCTCTCTCTCTCTCTCTCTCTCTCTCTCTCTCTCTCT